TAACTTTGTAATGAAACGTACATGAAAATAACATAAAATATTCTTTACTCTTTAAATCTTAACCACTTAGTCAAATAGCTCCCTACGAGTGGAATCAGAGACGGTCCTGCTAGGTGTGCGGTGTGTACTGTACATGCACGCGGGCTGCCAAATCCCGAGGGTGCCGATACCCTCGGGATTTGGCAATGTCAAATGTTTCTTTTGTCGCATCACTAATATACCTCAAAAGACGCGACAGGGTTCTTGTAAATTTTAAACGTTTCTCACCATAGCTGTAAAAGTCTAAATATGTTAAACTTAATAGATTGTCCGTCGTTTGTTTTCTAACTAATTCGTTTTAGGACCAGGTGTTGTCCACGGAAATTTCCAAAATTTACAACTTTTCGGTCACTCTCGTCGAACTGGAAAAATTTCTGTCTTTATTACATCTAATACAGTATTTCGAAGAAATCAGTCCCCACTGTACTCGGCTATAGATTGGTTCGGTTAAGCTTTTGTTTAAGTAATATTCCGGCTCTTTCGTCAGGGTTTTGTTTATGTCCCCAATTCCCTAATCGCTTAATTATTTAACTACTTCTTAAGTAGAAATAAGTCGAAACCGGTTACTTTGTACTCGAATATTTGTAGTCTCGGGAAAAAAGTGGAAAGACAAATTTTTATGACAAACGGATACATAAATCGTAAATTTAAGGAAAATAAATTCTAGAGCTTTTTCTGTACCTCGTGCATCTCTCTCATTCATTAAATTTAGTTGTAAATGATGCTACCAAAGTAACAGTTAATTTTTTAACATTATACAAGAATTGTACACGTTTTTTTCTACATCCCCTTAAAGATGGGATATACGAAATCGTAATATCACTGGTTTAACATTGAAATCCGTGAGTAATATAAAATCGGAGAGCGGAATAAATATATCAAATATTTTAATGGATTTTTTAAACTCCTGTCAACTATACAGAACTATCGTAAAAACATACCAGTAAATTCTTATCGGTTGGGTTAAGTTATAAATCTACTCGTTATTCACGTAATCGAAATATCTAGTGGGCAGGCGGCTAACAGCCCAGAACCGGTCCTTGATAGAATTGGAATCTTTATATGTGTGCAGCTTTCACCCAAGGTCGTAGGCTTCCACCGGCTAAACCGGGTGAGATTGGTGCTCTGTAAAGCGCATGCGCAAATCTGGCTTTTTGGATTCTGACAATACAGAGATTCCACTCCGCCACTAATATTCGAATATACAATAGCAATCTTATTTTTTTTTTTTCACGTGTAGTATAGAAATTTGTAATAAGATACGTAATGCGGTCATAATAAAATATTGTGCGATTATTTTCATATAATTAAAATTAATATGTATTTATTTTTTATAAAATACAAGGGAAGCGGCGCTTCCACCGCTTCTAATGACGGCACGCCACTGCTAAACACTGATAATTGGTCGTGAATTCGCGCCTCATCAACGGGATGGCCACGTGATGTTTTCCGAGTTTACTTATCTGACAGCTAACAAGTAAATAGGAGACGTCCGGATAATCGAGCGGTAAAGGTGTCAGTCTGTCACTCTGAGGGCCCGGGGGCAAATCCGGACGGGTCGAAAAACCCTAGAAATTTTTCGGAGGTGGTTGTCTCGGATATCTTGGGCCGTGTCACTTGCCACCCGGCCATCCCTTCGGAACCTGGCTGAATCCTCGATGGATTTGATTAAAAGGACTTCTTAGTGCTCACAGAGAAGAGTAAAAACTAAAAACCTATGAGTATAAATAGGATCTTGAGAGCTAGTATTTTATTTATTCTGATTAACAAAATCACCTACACATGGCCAGTTTCTGGGTCAGACATATGACAGAACCTTAAAAATTTTCATGGATTATTTGACATGGATGTCACTGTTTCTAACTACCTGATCAATCACTGCTTTTTAAAAATACTTTGTCCTGTGGGCTCTAAGAGGGCCATTTTAGCAAGCCCATTATGTATTTGACCAGGTCCACAATTGGGCGGATGGACGGTGAGAGAAGGGACCCGACGTATCCGGACCGATCATCTTCGAAAAATTTCTTCAGCTGTTTCGATCGGTCCCTTAGAACATTAGAATTTATTCCCGTGCCCCTTAGAGCATTAGGTTGACACCTTAACTGCTCGGCCATTCTAAAGCAGTGTTCCGCAACCTTTTTCTATTTGCGGCACACCAAAATGTTATTCCCCTCAAAAACGTATGATATGATACTATTAATAGAATTATGTAATGCCACTAACCTATTATTATTGTCATTAAAAGACATCAACACCTGTGAGCAAATTTATTTTACATATAATTTCTTAGAATACATAAAAATGCATGGCTTGTAATAAAGAATATACAATCATCATCTTATTTCATCGGTGCTGCGGCAGAGAATGAAATACAAGCTTAAGAAACACAAAAACTGTGATAAAAATATATAAATAAAACTTGAAATTAACAGAATATGTAAAAGTTCACATCACACCTTTCACCATGTGACGGCACACCGGTCGCGGAACACTGTTGTAAAAAATCTACATGAATGCTCTATGTTCATTGTCTTTCGCCAACATCCAGTCTATCATCGATTACAAACTCCCACTATGGGCTTTGATTTTAATCTCCAATTTGAACAAAATTCAATCTGCGCTTAACAAATCTTATTTTTTGTCAATAGAACTTTTGTAACCTAGGAATGTTGAGAATAGTAACGTGGCTAACACATCTCTTCAGATTGACGCAGCCATTATTTTAATACTATGTTTTATACTTATCTTAATGGTACTTTAAATTCAGATTATATGTTTATTCATGTACCATCTTTCAATTCACGGAATCATTTATAAACACCCCGTTTCATTCTCCAACTCGTAAATCCTTTATTAGTATTATTATTATTCGTTCTCTCTTTTTAGGATTATAGATTACTTTAGAACTTTTTTTACTTTTAAAAAACTCGTAAATCTTTTCCTAACATTGTAAAATAGCCAGCAACGAGTTGCATAACTTTCCCAGCTGTTATATTTTATTGTATAAAAAAACTTTTATAGCACTAATTACAACCAAAAGACAAAAGGTTTAATTGAGGATGGAGATGACTTTTTAAAAATATTGTAAATGTCAGTAACGATTAAAATTTCCATGAAGTCCGATCCCATTCGAGATATGACACGACTCTCCCCCACTCCCACGACCTTTTTAGCCACCAAAATTTAATCCATGTATATACAAGTGCCAAATTTCGTTTCTTAATCTTTACTCCATCCTGAGATATTAAACGAAATAGCGTCCACACACACACACAATCAGTTTTTTGAGTTACGTGGTGTCAAAAACATCATGATTCCAAAAATCCAGGTTAAATGTAACCCACATGATTACAGCTGGGAATGTAACCTGTTACGTTATAACTGCCAGTAAAGTAACAAGTAAAAATTTCAGTCAATTACAATACTTTCCTGTTTTATGTCATAACAGCCAGGAAAGTAAAATGTTTTTTACACCACAGTATTTTAGAATAATTTTTCTTATTTCTTAATTATTTGTATCTATTGTTTTTGTATTGTTTTACATGTTTATGTTGATCTTTTAATTAATGGGTAATGGGATTTTTAATTGATAATTATTCTGGGGGCAGTGATGAAATGTTCTTGTGAACCTCTACTGCAAGTCAGTTTTTAAAAAATTCAAAATTTATATAAAACTGATGTCAAATTATTGAAAATTATACAAACATATGGAAACATTTCCACTTTTGCAAATGAATATCCAAGAAAATAGGCTGCACTTTTTCTGAAGACTTTTGACTGTTTCCATACATGCTGATCAGTTCCTATTGGTCTCAATTTTGTTTTCTATGTTTTGTATTAGTAGTCTGCCATTGAAATACGTTTTGAAACAAGAGCAGTGTTGAAAGACAAGGCACTTACAGTATTTTTATTCAAGGCAACAAAATGTATATTAGCATATTTTGTGCTCTGAAGAACAACTCTGAATAAGGAAACATATTTCGACTTTCTACATATTATGCTTTTGTAGTGTTTTTCCATCATGATAATGCCAGACCTTACTGAATTGCCAATATTGTGCAGTATTATAACTGGAGGTCTTATCACATCCTCATATTTGCAGAACTACAGATCCATGTGATTTCTTTCTGTTGCTGTGACTGAAAATTTTGAATAATAAGTGCTTTATATCTGATATGGAGTATGCACACCCATGGCAACTCTGACATCTGCCTAAAAACTAATTTCAGTAAGCATGTAATTTGTGGATATGATATGACAGAGATGCCTAATAGTCAAGCATTATAAATCCTAAGATGGAAAAAGAAAAAAGTAGCATTATTGAACAAATGAAATGATCAGCCCTTGTAGACAAAGAGAGGCTAAATTATGCACCTGATATATTTTTGGAATACCTAACACATATTTTAAATAAAAGTCAAAATATACGTCATTTCTTTTTAAGAATATCTTTTTTCCATGCTAATTGAAGCATACAGGATGGCCCAAAACTCAGTTAATCATTGCAAAGACTAATTTACAGCCTTCTTACATATTTTTATTGTCTCCATCAGTTTTGTAAAAGAATAACTCACTGCTCTACTCTGTTTACAACTAGGATTCAAAAATGTATTTGGAACATACAAAACATGATTAACTAACTTTTGGGCTATCCTGTAGCTTAGAAATTACTGTTTCTGTCTACTATAAAATTTACTTTAATTAACCACAGTCATCAAAGAAATGTTTTAAATTATGCCCTTATTATCAGAAATTATTTCTCTATACATAAATTATTTTTTTTTTTAGACATAGAAGCCTAATGTATTTTGTGTGAAATACTGAATGAATATAAAATATTAATCAAAGTATTTTTGAAATTATGTACAGTACTGTACACTTATCATTAAAAACACCTCTCTCAGCATTTTATAATTGAATACTTAAAAATTGTAATTCAAGAGATTAATATTAAACAGACATTTAATATTAAACAGTAGTCATTTATTTTTTAAATTCTGTTTAGAAATTATTGGAAAAACAAATTCAGAGCAAAATAAAAACCTCCAAATTTACATTTTAGAGGCAAGAAGAATATTTAACAATATAATTTTTGAGAGTTTAAACTTTAATTATTAGTAATATATGAGTAAATACATTGTAAAATCTTAATTTATGAAGAAAGCTATCTTAGAATAACTATTTTAAGCCAGAAGTTCAAACATATCACTATATAAATATTATAAAATAATTACAAAATAGTATCATCACTTCACATTTTCCATATGAAAGTAGAACAAACTCTATAGCATATATCTGCTCAAACAAAAAATAAAAATGGATGAAATTTTTATAGGCTAAGGTGGATAGCCAAAAATTCAATGCATAAAGTGGCCAAAAGTCAGTTAACAACTGCAAAAACTAAATTACAGTTAAATACTTAAATCACATTTTTTAAATCATGTTTCTACCAATTTTTGTAAAAAAAAATCTGTTCTAAATTCATTTTATGATTTTCATAGCTACAAGTGTACTTGAGACAATACATGGTTAACTGACTTTTGGGTCAATCTATACATAAAATGGTCCCTAGAATTAACTTCTTGCTGCATTTAGTAAAATTGCTTAAGAATATCATTTAAAAATAATATAATGCCAATCTTTGTCTTCTATATGCAGATTGATCAATCAATATTTCTATAAAAGCTTCCTTCTTTGACATTACTTTAATATTAACAAATAAAAGGAATCAAAAGCTATTTCGACTTAATCAGGATTAAATTCAAAATTTCAGATATTTTTCAAACAACATTTCATATAATGGAAAACTTAATTTTTCAACAAAAACCAGACTGACCTTAACTAATATAAATAAAAATATTCAATTATTACAATTTAAACTGCATTTACTATTTTTCTTGAATATGACAATGTAAAAAGAAGGTATATATACATACATATTTATGTATATAATTATTAAAATGCAAAATATGTCTTTGCAAAATTATAACTCCTTATTGAAAGACAAATGTAATAAGAATATTTAAAAATTTGATTATATACACATCAGTTTCACTTTTGTATTGAGACTCTGAACAATTGGTAAAGCTTCATCTAGAATTATCATTGAAGACCTTATCCTCATGGTTTCTAGCAAGGGACAGGATTTTAAAAGCCACTGTAAACCTTCAATTGTTAGATTACAATCCACAATAGTTATATCTTGAAGTTTAGACAAATTATTCTTTGAAGTTATTTTAAATAAAACGCTATCAGTAAAATGCGGCACGTATATCAGAAAAAGCATTTTTACATTAGGACAATTAGAAATTAATGCAATTAATAGATTTGCAGACGGTCCTGTGTTTGTCATGCATTCAAGATGTAAAGTTTGTAAATCATATAAATTATTATTATATGGTGTAAATTTACAAATTTCCATCTCAAATATCACCTTTAAATTTACAAGATTATGACAAAGCGATATGATCATTCCAAAATCTACATTTTTAAAAAATATAATTCCTAATGACCTGAGTTGTCTTCCCAAAGTTTGAATTAAAAAATGATAGCCTTTCTGGAAATCTCCTGGTGGTATAACATCTGCCCATTGTATAATAATAGTATGGAGCTGTTTCATTTGAGAGATGGCCATAACCGCATCATTATTATTAACTATAAGATCCATTTCGGTTACATCCGGACAAGTAAGTGCAGCTATCTTGATAGCACGGAGACTCGCTGGTGATCTATCAGGTTCGAGAAAAGAATTTCCAAGTATAATTCTACGAAGTTTATATTTGTGACATAAAGTTCCATTATCTAATTCCTGACCATGCAATAATTCCAATGCTTCAGCTATATTGTTTTCCAAGCACAATAACTGTGGAGTATATTGTAGAAGAGATGCAATCATGTCTACTGGGATGGTATGTTGAGAACCTTCAAAAATCGAAACATGTTGCAAGTTACTAACAGAAGACATCTGTGATTCCGAACATTGAGGAAACAAACTTTTCAAATCACCAACTCTAGGAAAAAAGCGTAATTCCAACCATTTTAAATGCACAGCAAACTTCAAAACATCTATATCGATGGGTATATCCAAATACAAATGTTCGATATTTGGAGATAATCGCAACAAATTTTCAACTGCTTCACTTCTCAGTAATTTTGCTCTCTCGGACTTAATGCATTGCACTCGACAAAATATTAATTTAATCAGTCGGTAACCACAGGTACCAAGGCAATTTAGAATGGAAACAAATTCTTCTGTACGAATGCGCACATCGCACAATTCAAAATTTTTAACCCGTCCACTTTTAAGCAAAGGGCAGAGTTCCTGGTGCATCAATTCTCCTCTGGACGTCACCTTCACCACAACAGATATCAATTCTTCGACAAGCTGACTAGGAAAACAAGAGAAGGGATTAATTTGACTATACAGCCTCGAATATAGCCAATTGTAATTTATCAACAGATTTGCAACACCGATGATGCATTTTTTCTTTAAGCTTTCAGTCGGCATGACTCAAGTAACTGAATTAAGTCTGAGAGACAAAATGGAAACAGTTCATCACAATTTGATTTGTATAGAATTGAGATGAATAATGAATATTCATTTAATGCATAGAAAATCTTTTCAATTTGCATTTTTCGGTTGTGGACGATAACCGATACGATCGTGAATGATTGCTTTTTTGCTTGCATTGCTAGGAGATGTACCAAATGCATCGGTATTTGGAGAATCGCATATTTTGGAGGAATTCTTTTTCTCTTCTAATTCTTTTTTGATAGCTTCGTATTCGTGCATGTCATCTAATTTTAAATCGATTCTCGTGGGATTACGTCGAAACATTTTGATACTTTCAATCAATTTAAAGTTAGAAAAATAAATCTAAATTTTACACTCAGTCAATCTTACCACAGACACTTCCTCCGAAAATTAAAATTTCATCGTCACACCACGTAACACGATGCCCTCTAGTAATCAATAATATATCAATTAATTTATATTTTTCCAATTTATAAGCTGGAGTAATTAACTTATTTATACAGTTTAATTATCAAATTTATTTTTATAAATATTTATGTTAGAAGTAGCTTCCTTTCTGAATTTATTTATTTTTATTTTTTTTTAATTTCGAAAAGCAAAATTTCTTACAAGGTGGCGCTTTTGTGTCGAGTAGCGACGTTTGTCTTGAATAGCGTAAAGACGGTTTTTTTAACTTATTTTTTTTGATTGAATATTAATTTTATATAAATAATGGATGACGAAGCCGAAACTTACAAGTTATGGAGAATTAGGAAAACTATCATGCAGGTAATTGAATATTTATACTTATTAAAATCCGAAACATTATGTGCACTGAGGTGATGGTCGCTGCTACACGTGGATGACGTATTTATTAACTACTGTACTCAATTTCAGTTTCTAAAGAAGATAAGTTAATCGTATAGATTACCCAAAATGTATGTTTTCATCTTACAAAAGGCTCGTAATTGTACAGGAATCATTCAAGATTCATTATATATTTCAGCATTTTTTGCCCTCATCAGACTATTTAAATAAGTGAAAAATACAGTGATACATTATATTTAAATAACAAATAAATATACACCACGGCTCAATTCAAACTCTGAATGTTATAAAAATATTTTGACTAATAACTTCATTATTATTAATGCATATTAGTTTAGAAGTCAGAGATTATTTTTGCTATTAATATTTATGTAGTAATAATTGTGGCATTCTGTTCATCAAAAAGAGTGTCCCCACTCTGTTTACTTTTTATGTTAGCTCTAATTGGCTTGTGGCATTCTTTGGGGCCAATAAAGTGGCCCCGTTCATTTCATTTGCTCGCCAAACTTCTCACCTAATCAGGTTAAAGATTACCAATGTGAACCATCATGGCTGCTCTTCCAGTTGCTATGGGTGTGCTTTTTATGAGCAAAAATGTAGCGTAAATGACATCATAAGCACCAACCACTGCATGTTGCTGCATGGTATTTTACAAACACTTGTCGCTCAAGCAAAATGGACACTGTCCCTTGTTAACTAATTTCTGTTTTAGAAAGAAATGCATTATTTAAAGAATTACAACACAATAAAAAAAGAATGTATGAAAATTTAATGATCTGCATTGCTGTTTCAAATGAAGGTAAAAAATTACGAGCGACAGAAGATAAGAAATTACATTGCAGAGATAGTACCTTCATATTCTATGGATGACTTCAAATCTCATTTTAGACTCACAAAAAGTTCAACAGAAGTAAGTTTTTAACTTAAAATAAGTTAAATAAGTTCTATTAATTTCTAAATTAATTGATGATGCATTTATTTTTTATAGAAAATTTTTCTTATTTCTCCTACAAAGGAAGTATTATTAAGTATTTGGACTCTTGCTAATCAAGAGTCATTTAGAAGTATTGGAGATAAAGTTGGTGTGAATAAAGGTCATGCACACACAATCTTTATAGACTTCTGTCAAAAAATGTGTTATATGATTGGCAAGTTTATTAGGTGACCAATTGATAACTTGGAAAGAGCAGTTCATAAATTTGAAAGAATTACATACTGTTTCATTGCCTGGAATAATTGAGTGTGTTGATGGAACACAAGAATATATAAAAGCTCCAAAGGAAGACAGCCAGAGTTATTACAACAGGAAAGGAAGGTGTGCTATCCTGTTGCAAATAATCTGTGATTCAGAAATGTGAATTATTGATGCATTTGTTGGTTGGCCTGGTAGTGCCAATGATTCTTAGGTTTGGCAGCAGAGGCCTATTTATAATATGTTTTTGAATGAATCTTCAAAGTACAGGTAGCCCTCGGTTTATGCCACAGTTCCGTTCCTACAAAAGCCATCTCAAATCGAATCGGCATAAAACGAACCCATATTTACAGTGATGTATAGGGTTAGGTTCTACATAAGTATCCATCTTTAATTGTTTACAATTTTTGTTTTCTTTCATTGAGAATTTTGGAATATGGTCGAATGGATGCGATGATGCTTCTTTTTACATTTGTACTTCACTCCCAATCATTGTCTAACTCACAAAGTTCATCCGTCAAACTTTCCATAGTTGAAAGGATACGTTAACCTGACGTAGAGCTACGGACGAGCGGGGACGTTGATTGGTCGACCACTGGTTGCCGTAGCGCATGTATAAGGTCAGTTTGAGCGGGAAAATTCAAGGTGGCTAAGGAGAGATAGATGTTGTCTGGCTAATAAAAAAAGTATCGTCTAGCCAACGAGAAGTAGATTTGTCTCACTAACAATAGTTTGTGATCGACGGAATTGCTACTGCGTCGTAAGGTGTTTTCCTAAACGAACTAAATCGGGATACATTCATTGGTGCTATGGATTCGGACGCCATTTATTGGACTATTAAGTTTGATAACTTGACTCGTGGGTACCTAAACATTTAGTATTTTAACATTAATTTAATGCAAATGTATACATACCAATAATATTAAACAGAAAAACTAAATATATTCAATAAAAATCTTTGTTTTAACGAGTGTACAATGTCGTGGCTCAGTAAATATGTCAACACTGAAGTGAAAATCAGTGTGGCATAGAAAATTCAGGGAATTACACCGTGAAACGGCAAATTGTGTAGTGGCATTATTGTGAATCGGTGTAAATTGAGCCGGCGTAAACCGAGGGCTACCTGTATTTAGGAGATAACTACTATTTACAGGGTTTCTATGCAGCTGGAAAGTCAGGGATTTACACTAGTGTTTGGAATAAGTCATGGAAAGTCAGGGAATTTGTTGAAAATTGTCAAAAAGTCAGGGAATCTGTCTGCTTAGCTGCCTTGTTGATGTAGTTTGTGAATATGGCTGATCAAGAGTATCTATCTGCAGACAGCATGAAGTAATGCTGCAACCTTTATTACGGAATATAGCAGAATTCATTTTTCTATTGAAACATTTTTAATATTAGAGGATATCACTAGATGTACAAATATGTCTTTTATAAAAGTTTTGTGTCTTTCTTATGTGCATAACTGTTTTCCTTATCTGATATCATCAAAACCATATTCCAAAAACAGTGAAAAGTTTTCTGGGGTGCTTAGTGCTGATCTTTGCACAATCGCATATAATGAATTAATTTTAATAAGTCATACTTATTGTTCTATTGTATTGTAAAAATATATTTTAAAATCATTCAAAATGAGAACTTGAAATCATATCAAATTGTTTTAATTTTTTTGAAAATTTAGTTTTAACATTTTGACAGTTAATACAAAGGTTTACTTTTACTGACAGTTGCAGGTCACTTTTAAAACTAATATTAATTGTTTATGTGAAGAATTATTATAAAATGCAACACTGAGGAGAGCATTGCTAAACCCTGGGGATCAAACAGTCCCTAATATAATATACTGCCAGATCAATCAACATTTTTAAATTTCAAACATTTTGAGATTTTAAAAACATTTTATTGTGAATTTGAGAGAATAATGTGCAATATTCTTGATAATGTTATATCAATTAAAATTTTTCCAAAATATTTTAATCCTTTCTGAACACCATTAATAACATTCACACACTCAATTCGAGGTAAGGTGTTAATGAATTGATTTTAAAAAATGAGAACAAAGTATGAAAATTGATAAATAATACCAATAAATTACAAATATTTATCAGTTTTTATTTTAATAATTTTTATTGTGTAACAAAACATAATTTTCAATTTTTTCCTGTATACAGTAATACTCCGAACTTAAGCGATAGGTGGGACTGAGCGATAACCGTGTAAGTTTAATTCGCATAAGTCGGAGTATAATTTCACAATTTTTGTAAAATCCAAGTCGGATGTATGTAAGCTAATAAATGTTCTCGTTAATCTTATCTTGTCTTTTGATTCATTCACAGTTGCAAGAAATCAACACAGAGTCTCTCAAGTCTCCATAGATATAACAAACACAGAAATAAATAACACAAAATACATTGTAGCTATGTGTCGATTCCACGCGACACGTCCGAACATGTAAGCTGAACAATAGTGTGGGGGGAGTGAGTAATCAAGAGTTGCGTGCACTCAAACAAAAGACGAATCGACGAGATTTGAAAATCGTATAACTGTGGGGTAGCATAAGTTGAGGTATTACTGTATTAAAATTTTATACTTTTGTAATTGATTACAGAATTCATTAATTTCCTGCACTTTGATACATAGTTTAATAATTAGTTTAATAGAAATAAAGTTGGGTAACAGATAACAGTTTTTAAGCCCTAAATTTGCCAAAATCAGTGGATTTTGGTAAATTTAGGGATTAAAAACTGTTAATATTGATTATATCTGTAGTAACACTAGTATGTTATACTTTTGAATATCAACTAGTTAGCATGATACTCATTTCAAACTCATACAAAAAAAATTCTATTTAAAAAAAAAAAAACTGGAAATGAAATCATTTTCAAGAGTTTAGGTTAAAAAGGTTAAGTTTTGCTTTAACATTTATTTAGAAAATATTTATTTTCTTTTTAGTTATGCCATGACAGAGGTTACTTAGTTACTCAAGATGAATTGGATCAAACTTTGGATCAATTTAAGTTACAGTTTGGTGATAAACCTAGGTATTTGATTAAAGTTATTTTTGAATTATTTTATATTTTAATGACATATTAAATAATTTTATGCACTTATATATTTAG